AAAGAGATTGGTAAAATCATTTGTATCTTCTTCACATTAAAATCTTTATTTATACATTAATTAGGCAACAAAACCTAATTTATTCCCCCATATCATTTTTTTTTTTAAATCATCTTCATGATCACAAATTCATGAATGACATTCATTCTATATTTAACACTTAGTTAATCAATAGAATGAATTTTATGTAACAAATATATAAATATATTTGTTTTACAAAAAAATCGTCGGAGGAATAAACGGGCTCTGATACCACTGTTAGTGGTTTTATATAACACATATATAAATATATATATAGGACTAACCTTTATGTAGCGGATGCGATTACTTGCCCGTATATCTTTTATCCGACGGCTACTAGAGTCGTCGGTATCCTCCACGTTCTAAAACCCGAGCCGCCTTAAGATGGTTTCGGCTCAACAAGAGAAAAGCACTATAAAGATTATGTATTTTCTCTAACTTGTTTTCTTCTCTCGTATTGTTGTTTTTTCATGATGCACCAAACATCATATTTATACTTGTCTTCATGGAACACAATTAAATGAAGACTTTAAGCACACTTCTCATAACTCCATACTTAATGGAGATGAGGTTGTAACACACCATCTTTAAGTGGATGTTACTACTTGATGCAACATAGCATCAATTAAATACAATAGCTGCCATCACAATGCACTTCTTGCCACAAACAACACTGCAACTCAGATATTCATTATTCGAAGCCAAGCATAGTACACACAGGATTAACATGAAAAGTATAGGTGTGGGCAAGAAATAACAAAGTAGAAGAACAATACCAATGTGCTTTCCATTTATGTTAATGTCGAAATAAACTTTATGTGTCACTTGATCAACATCCTCCAAAGCTTCCAGCTTCGTCAATAATTAAAGAAAAAAAAAAGGTTGCAAAGATTAACAAATCACCACATACTTATGTTAATGTTGAAGAATTCAGAATAATAAACAGGTTGAAGATTGGAACCTCACTGGCGTCACTAATTGGCTTTTGATATGATGAAACCCCCGCATCGCTTAACCGATTCTGAAGAGAGCGAATACAAAATTACAAGTAAAGCAAAGACAAGTAAAGCAGGCAGAAAAGGGAAGAAGTGATTAGAAAGAGTGAGTACCAGAATGAGAGCGAGAGTGCCGAAAATGATTAAAACCCATAGAATCGCAATTGGTAGCAATCTTCTTAGAGGGTTGGCCATTAACGAGGTGATTGAGGAGAAAGAAGCCGACTTCTATTAAAACGGACGACAGGGTGTATTGTTGACATTATTAAATACTTTTTTAAGATTTTGTTAATTAAAGAATAGAATTTTATTTTATGGGATTTTATCATTTTTTTTTTT